ATTGGCTGATAGTGGTGGTACTGGGCATCTGTGTTTTACCCTTGATCTTATTGGGAAGGATTCTATTTTATCCCCATTACAGATAATGCTTGCTGATGGTTTTAGAGAGATACTATTTATCATTTTAAGGAAAGCTCCATTTATTACTATGTTTTCTAGTGTTTTTAATAGGACTAGGTGTTGTATTTTGTCAAAAGCTTTTTCTGCATCTATTGATAATCATATGATTCCTGTTGATTTTGCTATTTATATAGTCAATTATGCTGATAGTTTTCCTCATTGAAATAGCCCTGCATTCTTGGTATGAATCCCATCTGGCCACAGTGTATGATCTTCATGATATATTGCTATAATCTCCTTTAAAATTTGTGCATTGATGCTCATTAGGGAAATTGGTCTATAGTTTTCTTTCTCTTTTTTTTTGCTCTTCATGGTTTAGGTATCAGCACCATGTTTGTGTTATAAAAGGAATTTGGTAACTGAGTCAATTCTAAGAGGAGGGAGTGCATTCCAGGCCATGAGGGAGAGTATGTGCAAAGGCATCAGGATGGAAAATGGAGTGTTGTATATGAGCTAGAAGGCCAGTTTGACATTGGGCATATTGGGCATCTTTCTCATGGGCAGACTATCTGTGAAGCTCTGAGGTTGGGGTGAGAATGAAGAAGAATGGGAGAAGTGCTGGGTTTGTTTGAGCCCCAGCAGTGGTCATGTGCTATTTGAGTTGGAAAGGGTGCCACGGAGAGAAGGAAAACTCATGGGGGTATGATGTGGCATGATTTGTGGAGTCAGAGTCAGATTCCAGGTTCATAATGAGAGGTGAATCCTCTCACCAGACCTTAGTGGTGGGGTGACCTTGAACAGCTGACCCCCCCCCTCCCCGTCTTAGCTATCAACCCCTAAAGCAGAGGAATCAACTCCATATCCTATGGCATTGTGCCTCTCAATACTTTCAAGTGTAGCCCACCAGATTTCAAAATAAATAAAAATACAATAGAACATAGATAATGATAATATGTGGTTTTCTAAGTCAGTATGCTGCCTGTAGGGATCCTGATGTATAGCAGAGTTTAGTGGGCCCCATTTCTATTTGAGTTTGACACCACTGATCTAAAGTGATCATGAAACCACTCTATTCTGGCCTAACCCCCCTCCCATGTCTCTTCCTACTCTGATATTCTGTGGTCCTGTGACTCTGCTGACTGGCATCTTCCGGAAGTATTCAGCTCACCCTTCTGGAATGGTTCTCCTTGGAGATGGGGGTGGGGGGGAGGGGGAGAGAAGAGTGATTTAATATTGTCTAGAGTTGGAAGGGACCTCAGAAGACTGGGAATCCCCCTACAGCATCTCAACATGTGATCATCCTATCTCCATTCGAAATCCATCAGTGATAGGGAATCCCGCCCTCCCCCCTCCCACTCCCAGCCCTGGTAGCTCATTCTTTTTTGAAATTTCCTAATTGTTGGAAAATTTTTCCTTATACTGAACTGAAATCTGCCCCTCTGTCACATCTGACCATTACCTCTAGTTAGTTTTGCTCCCTGAAGCTAAGCAGAGTAAGCCTTTACCTTCTTTTCCATGGCCGCCCTGGCTAAACATTCCCTGAACCAGTTCTCATAGGGAGGGCATGATCTCCCCCTCCCCTTATCAGCCTGCTTGCCTTCCTCTGAAAGTATCTTCACTTAGAAATGTGGTGACCCCAATATCTTCTAACACGGCCTTCTCCCGAAGGCACTATTGGGGTTAGTGTGGCCATTTGGCTGGATCCCTGATTAGGAACTGAGAAGCTTTTGTTCTGATCGGTTTTTAGGTACATTGATTTTATTAAGTGAAGCTTTCTTCTCAAATGCCTCAGGATCACTAGTGATGACTGAGGTGTTGAGGCTAAGTGGCCAAGAGCAGCCCTACTACATGCTGTTGGCAAGAGGCCACCGGCAAGAGAAAGGGCAGTGACTCCTTAGCAGAAGTGCAGGTTAATGTCTGCTGTAAAGGCCTTCAGTATGTCTGTTGTAAGCCCAATTAACTGAAGACATTACATGTAAAGGGAGAATGCTTTGATTTGCAGGGTCACTTGGGAATTAGACAGTGACGAAGTCTAAGATGCCAGACTGCTTTACATGGATGTCTTCTGGTGTACTGACACCAGCCATCCTTTTGAGAGTATTTTAGGCATTCCAGGGGTGGGGAAGCTGCAGCCTTGAGGTCACATGTGGCCCTCTAGGCCCTCAAGTGCAGCCCTTTGACTGAATCCAAACTTCACAGAACAAATCCCCTTAATAAAAGGACTTCTTCTGTAAAACTTGGACTCAGTTAAAAGACCCCATCCAAGGACTTAGAAGGCCACATGTAACCTTGAGGCTGCAGGTTCCCTACCCCTGTGGGTTAGCCAATTGGTGAACATTACTTAAACAGATAGAAGGAAGGGTATTAATAATCTAGTGAGGCCTGTAGGACCTTATGCTGGGGAAGAGAGGCTAGAATGAAATAAGTCTGGCACCCTTCTTGCCTAATCCAAGGGGGTTTCCTCAAAGGAATTGTTTAAGGGCTGGGTCATCAATCAGCCAATGAAAAAGCATTTACTGAGTACCTACAACCATCACTACTGCTAGCTAGCATTTATTTAGCACTTTACATATGCTATCTCATTTTATGCTCACAATGACCCTATGAGGTAAGGTATTATTCTCATTTGACCTATATGGAAACTGAGGCAGACACACTTTAAGTAATTTACTTAGGGTTACACAGCCAGAAAATGTCTGAGGCAAGATTTGAACTCAGGTCTTCCCGACTCCAATGCTCTATCCATAGCACTACCTAACTGCTTCTTGCCTACCGTACACTAGGGTGTAACTTGAAAAGGCTACAAGTCAAGACTAAAGTAGAGGGAGAGTTGGTGCATGACTTTGTCTTAGCAGATGATTATGCATGAGATGCAACAAGGTATTTTCTGCTTCTTGTGCTAATTTTGCCTAATTGTTCATTGGTGTTAATATACCAAGAAAACACAGGTTCTCCACCAGCCAGCACCATACCATCCATATGTGGAATCATTGATTACAGTAAATGGAGAAATTCCAAATGCTGTGGATAAGTTCACTTACCTTGGCAGTATACTTTCCAGGAATGTCCACATAGGAATGTCCAATGTTGACACACACATTGCCAGAGCTAGCTCGGTGTTTGGGAGGCTCTGAAGGAAAGTGTGAGAGATAAGAGGTATTAGGCTGCCTACCAAACTGAAGGTCTACAGAGCCATTGTGCTGACCTCATTGTATGCCTGTGAAGCCTGGACAGTATACCAGCGCCATGCCAGAAACATAATCGCTTCCATTTGAATTGTCCTAGAAAGATTCTGAAGATCACCTGGCAGGATAAGATACGAGACACTGAGGTCCTTTCTTCAAATTCTTTTTTTTTTTTTTGAGGCAATTGGGGTTAAGTGACTTGCCCAGGTTCACACAGCTAGTAAGTGTCAAGTGTCTGAGGCCGCACTTGAACTCATGTCCTCCCAACTCCAAGGCCATAGCTCTATCCACTGGGCCACCTAGCTGCCCCACTGAGGCAGCATTCAAACTCTGTTGCAGAGATCACTCAGCTCCAATGGGCTGGCCATGTTGTTTGAATGCTAAACCTACTTTTGCCTAAAAAGATTATTTTACAGAGAACTCACACAAAGCAAGCATTCACACGGAGGTCAGAAGAAGCGACTCAAGGACATTCTCAAGGTCTCTTTAAAGAACTTTGGAATCAATTGTGAGACATGGGACATGTGGGCACAGGACTGTGTATCGTAGCGTGCCCACGTCAAAGAAGGTGCCCTGCTCTGTGAACCAAGACACAAATTGAGAGATGTCTTCGGTCCCAATGTTCATATGGACTATCTGTGCCCAACCTTTGGTAGAGCTTTCTGAGCTCCTATTGGTCTGATCAGCCACAGTTAAACACATATACCTTGACTCTGATATAGTGATGCCATTTTGGTCCTCTTCAAGACCAAAGGACATCAACCAGACATCTATTAGGCGTTGTACTAGGCATTGGGGCTTTTTTTTTTTTTGGCTAGGCATGGGGTTAAGTGACTTGCCCAAGGTCACACAGCTAGTAAGTGTTATGTGTCTGAGGCTGGACTTGAACTCAGGTCCTCCTAACTCCAGGACCAGTGCTCTATCCACTGTGCCACCTAGCTACTTCAATTGGGGATTTTTTTAACCACATGTGTGATTTCATCCTGATTAGAACCTACTCTTCAACTTCTAGTCTTAGAGGGGTTCTTGGGGCACTAAGATGTTAAGTTACTTGCCCAGGGTTGCATAGCCAGTATGTAGCAGAGGCTAGACTTGAACTCCTGGCTTCTTGACTTTGAGGCCGGTTCTCTATCCAGTATAACATATTGCAAGGGAAACAGATCAAAACAAGATGCAATCTCCCCTCAAGGACTGTGCCTTCTATCTGGGGAAACAATAGACACACATATAATCCCCCCACAACTCAGTTCTTGCCTAGGCCCCCTTCCCTATTGCCACCTCCTTGGTGGACCAGCTCAGTTCTATACTACCTTTTGCACTGGAGTCTCTTGCCCCCTGAACCTGTCCCAGATTATACCATGTTAAACCCCCCAACCTGGATTCCTTTCACCATCTACATTCCTCATTCCAATCCATGTGCTTCTGAACAGACCTGGAGGAAATCTTGAAATGGTGCTAACTGGGCCCGCTACAAATTAATGTTATATAATCTAATCTCAACTCAGCCCTCAGTGCTGTAAGGCAATCCTTGTATGCCTCTCTTTTGATTCTCTGCTTTTCTTCTTCCCCTTCCTCTTTTTAATCCCCTCTTAAAGATTAGAAAGCTTGCTTTGCTCAAGATGAAGTTGATTCATTTCTGAGCCAAACTGTTTGCAAGCACACATGAAACCCTCCTTGGTCCTTTTTTCAGATTAAGAGAGGAAGGCTCATGTATTGTCCCTCACCCCTTCCTCCATGTTTGTTTACTCTTCTCAGGCACAGCAGTTCCCTCAATAGAAATTGGAAAGTCTGGAAAAGAGAAGGGTTTGAAGGAAGTTATATTGAAGTTCTTTTTTGGATGTGTTGAATTTGTGATGCCTTCGGGACATCCAGCTTGAGATGGCCAACAGGTACTGGAACTCATGAGATAGATTTGGGCTACACACTTAAATCCGGGAATCATCTCCATAAAGATGAGAATTGGACTCATGGGAGCTGATGAAGAGATCACAAAGACAGATGATGTGGAAAAAGAAGGGTAGAAGGTACAGGACAGAGCCTTGAGGAACACCCATATTTAAGGGGTGGGACATGGATGATCTAACAAAGGAGACTAAAAAGGAGCACTTAAGAAGGAGAAAAACTAGGAGATAGCCATATCACAAGAACCCTAAGAGAAAAGGGTGGTCACAAGGAGATGGTGGTCAGCAAAGTCAATACTTCAGAGAGATCAAGGAGGATGAGGATGGGGGCAGCTAGATGGCGCAATGGATAGAGCACTGACCTTAAATTCAGGAGGACCTGAGTTCAAATCTGGCCTGAGACACATAACACTTACTAGCTGTGTGACCCTGGGCAAGTCACTTAACGCCATTGCCTAGCCAAACAAAAGAAGGATGAGGATGAAGAAAAGACCTTAGTATTTTACCTTTTAAAAATTACTGACTGTGTGACCTTGGGCAAGTCACTTAACCCCAATTGCCCCCCCCCCAAAAAATCAAAAACATAAAAATTACTGGTAACTTTGGGGCAGGGAAACAGCTTTATTTGACTAATGAATCTGGAAATCAGGTTTCAAGGGGCTAAGGAGTGAGAGGAGAGGAAGTGGAGACAAGGAATATAGACAATTTTTTCTAGGGATTTGGCTGTTGATAGGAGAAGAGATACAAGAAGATAACTTGAGAGGACAGTAGAGTATAGTGAAGTTTTTTTGAGGATGGGAGAAACATGAGCTCCTGAGAATGGCCTGTTTTCTCCATATATATCAATGAAGTTTTCTACTGAGAGGGAGAAATATGGGAGTTTTGAGGAAAGAAGAGGACATTTAGAGCAATGGGAGAGTCAATTAAGGCAATTACAGCCCTTCCTGTAGTAAAGACCCAGTATAATTAGGTAATGTACTTAATTAACTGTTGGGTCAATTGGGGAAGGTAAGAAAGTGAAGCCAGTGAGGAGCAGATGACCTGGAAAAGCACTGAATGGAGGGACTGGAGGTCAAGATGAGGATGAGAAATAAGCTTAGGAAAAGTGAGACATAGAGAGAAATGGAATGATAGGACATTATTGTAGGGTAGAGGTATTTCAGAATGTTTGATCATGGAAGTGTATGGGGGATAGTGAGATCCAGGGTGTGGCACACTTCAGAGTTTTGTATCCTCTATGAAATGGTCACCTCTTGGTCTGCTGTTTGACTCATTATAATATTCATTCTCATCATCCTTAGTTCTCAGGTGATCCAAGGTGGTAGTTAGATATTTCTCTGTTGACTACAGAAATTGCATTTGTCATTAATTAATTGGTGAGATCTGAATACCCACCTCAGCTTAATAAATATGAATTTTTTTTAATAAATTAGAGAAACCTTTTAACTCATGAACTTTGGGTCATCTTTAAATAATGTCTTCAGTTTAAGTAAATAGCAAAGTTACAGGCTATAGACTTTATTTACAGGGTCATGGGAGTTGATGAGGTTGATGAACTGAGAGGCCAGGATATTTACAGAAACAGCAACATGCATATTGAAGTGCCAAGAGTCTTAGGGCAGGGGCTAGATTAGAAAGGAAGACTGTAAGGATAACGGGGAGCAAGTAGAGAACCACCAGCAGCCACTTAGTCTTGTGAAGATTATTAATACTACTGTGGACAAGTCATTATTTTTTGCCAAGAATAATCACGGATATTTCTCTAGTACTTTAATTGCTGCAAAGTGCTTACCTTGTAAGCAATTAAGCGGTAAATAAAAGTATTATTATCCCTGTTTTCTAAATTCGGGAAACTGAGGCTCAGAGACTTGTCGATGGTGACAGGAAGAGGCAGACTCTTTGCCTGGTTGCCTGACCATATCCAATGCCGGGTCCATGTTGCCTCCTCTCTGTTAATCTGTGAATAATAAGAATATCCCACCTTTTGGCATCATAAGGGAACTCTGTCCTGAAAGCCATATATGGCCCCTAAGGAAAGGGATGCCTTCTAAAAAGGTAGCTATTCTTATATGGAGGACTGGATATTCTGCCTCTGATAGCAATAAACTCATCTGGTCCAGCCTCCTGTATCTCTCTTTGTCTGACCTAATACAGGGCAGATCTGGGAAATTAGCTGATCTTTCAAGATATTCCTCCCTTGGAAGAGAAACTACTTTTCATGGTCTGTTAGGAACCATTTCTATACCGTCAATCCAGTGTCTCACTGGTGGCAAAATATTCTAGACCTTGTTTCATGGTCGCTGTGGAAACTGGGCACCTTTGGGGCTTGAGGAAGGGCAGGTATGGATAAGAGGGCCTGGGGATTGATTTATCCAGGTGTAGGGGTAGGCCCAACTTCTGTGCTGAAGAGAAGAGAAGAAAACCGTATGTGGGTCAAGGAACCCCCATTGACTGGAATTGTTCCCTAAGAAAGTGGATTATTGAGATAAATTATATATGCAGTGTCTAAAGACTCTAGAAAGTCAAAGGAGACAGACTAATAGACATAGGCACAGACATAGGCACAGACATGGACACAGGCATAGACAATCAACATTGACTATAGTATGAAATGGAACAGGTATGGAAACTTCCCAGGATAGCAATTAATCTGAGCCTTGAAGACACCATATGGCTTTCTTTAGAGAGTGAGTGGGTGGGGTAGATTTTCTGTTTACTTTTTTTTTTATTGTTCTATTGTGTTTGGATGGGGCAACTAATCCCCAACAGGAACCCACCCCTAAACCAGTAGTTGCCCATAAAAAAGTTAAACCAAAATGCCTAAGACAATGACTGTATCTGACCATATGAGCCACTTTACCTTTTGGTAGTTTACCAATTGTTAACAGAAAAGAAAGATGCATGCTTTAACTTTAGCAATTTGAAACTGATATTTTCCATCATATTTGACCTGAGGGAGTTTTTTGGCCTTTTAGTAACAACCTACTTTTCCATTCTCAACTCCTTTCACAAACTAAGTGTTCCTGCCAAACTGGATTGCTTACTTAGTTTTTGTCCCATCTCCCACCACCATACCTTTGCACATGCCTGGAATACCCACCTTCCCCATCTTTGCCTCTTAGAGCCCTTAGCTCCCATCCAAGCTTAGCTTATTTCATTTCCTATGTGCAGCCTTCCCTGCTAGCCTCCAATTATTAATGCCATCCCAAGATGCCACCAAAATTTCTTTGGCTATATTTTGGATTGACTCATCTCTCTCTACTAGACTGTAATCTCCCTGAGAGCTGAGACTCTTTGCTTTCTTCACAGGGTGAATGTGTGTCCCGCCCCCCCACCCCTCCATAACCTGGTGCTGAGAATGGCTTTCTCCACGTTGAACAGCACGCCTCCCAGAGCGGATGGTGAGCTGTGTCCCAGCTGTGGGCAGCTGCATCAAGCCTTGGACAACCACCTCTACAACTTCCAGGATGAGGTGGACGATGAGCTGACCTGCAATATCTGCCTGCAGCCATTGCTGCAGCCTGTGGACACGCCTTGTGGCCACACCTACTGCTACCGCTGCCTCGAAAGCTTCCTGCAGGATTCCGATTTCTGCCCCATGGACCGGGAACCCTTGACGTTCCCCAGCTGCCGCAAGTCAACCTTGTTGGTGAGAAACCTGCTGGACAAGCTTATCGTCTTTTGTCCTTTCCCTCCTGATTGTCTTCTCACCATGCAGAGGTGTGAGCTGGAAGGTCATCTCCAGAATAGGTAAGGGAAGGGCTTGTCAATGAGGTAGTATGGCCCAGGGGAATGAATACTGAGTGTGGGTAGAGTCCAAGACCCTGGGTTTGAATCCTGGCTCTGTGCAGACTTCCTTAACCTGTGGGACCTTGGATGAATTATTTTTCCTCTCTGGTCAGAGGAAAGGACACATACTTTTTTTTTTTTACTTTTAGGTGATTGGGGTTAAGTGACTTGCCCAGGGTCACACAGCTAATAAGTGTTGAGTATTTGGTTTGAGGCCGGATTTGAACTCAGGTCCTCCTGACTTCAGGGCCAGTGCTCTATTCACTGTACCACCTAGATGCCCCTAACACATACATTTATTAAGCACCTACTGTGTGCCAGGCATGATCTCATTTTTTCTTCACAACAACCCTGCAAGGGAGATACTATTATTATTCCCATTCTACAGTGGGGAAAACTGAGGCACACAGAGGCTAAGTGCCTTGCCAAGGATCACACAGCTAGGAAGCATCTGAGACCAGATTTTGACTCCAGGCCCAGCACTACTCTGTTTTCTCCTATAAAATGAAGGGGTTGGACTAGATTACTGAGGCCTCTTATAGCTTAAATGTTCTGATCCCTGGTGGGAAAATCCATGACTTAAAAAAAAGAGAGAGAGAAAAAAAAAAGAAAATCCATGACTTAAAAAAAAGGAAAAAAAAAAGAAAATCCATGACTTAAAAATAAAAAAAAAAAAGAAAATCCATGACTTAGTGAGACTAGGACTCTATTGTAAGTGGAATAAAAATGGAAGTAGATAGAGAGAGAGTAGGGGCAGAAGATGTCCAATATCTGGAGAGGTAACCAGGTGAGAGCACCTAAAGTATGTTCAGTTGAGCTCCTTGAGGGCAGTGGCTATCTTTTAGCTTTCTTGGCAGCCCTAGCATTTAGTACATGCCTGGTACATAGAAGGCACTGAATAAATGTTGATTGACTGACCTCCAAAGGAGAGGCCAAATAAGAATACCAGTAATAGCAGGATGGCTGGACAGAAGGCTAGCAAAGAAGCAACAGCAGAGATCAGGGAAGGGTGGGAAGGTCACCAGCAAAGAACCCAACACCCAAGGGGACCATTGAAGGTCCTGAGTGTTAATTTCCTACAAAACACCACCACACACCTACATGGTTTGGGGAATGGAGGGACAGAGGGGTGATGTTTTATTGATGCAAGCTTGAATTTGGTTTTATTCCACTGTTACTTTCCAGTAACCTCCTGTCTAGATTGAACACCCCTCCCCTTCTATCAGAGAATTAGTGAAGCCAAACAAACCAATCCATGCTCTATAAAGTGTACCACACCTATGGCCACTATTGCCACTCTCTCAAGAAAAGGGGAATATATTTCATCAAGAGTCCTAGAGAATCAGGATGGGTCATTTGTGCATAACTCTTCAAGGTCTATGCAGTGCAGCGCCAACCTGACAGCTGTGATGCTTCCCTCTGAGGCTTTGAGAGTCAAAATTGCTAGGTATTCCTTACTCCTCTCTCAGTTAAAGACACTACTCAACCTCTTCATTTACTTTTATTCTTCTATTTTCTTTTATTTTTATTTGTTTACTCATCTATATAAAATATATAAACTTTTCCAAGTATTTTTCCATCTATTATCTTACATAATCTGCCCTATGAGGTAGGTCCAAAGAGTTACTTGGCAACGGTGCTTTTTTTTTTTTTCGGGACAGCTAGATGGCACAGTGGATAGAGCTCTGTCCTTGGAGTCAGGAGGACCTGAGTTCAAATCTGGCCTCAGACACTTGACACTTACTAGCTATGTGACCTTGGGCAAGCCACTTTACCCTGATGGCCTCGCAAAACAAAACAAGAGAAAGCAAAACAAAAAGCAATGGTGCTTTTTTGGAAGGAAGGGGACATTAGAAAATTCAGGAGCAGAAATCCCATGGTCAGCCAGGTGGTAGAGCAGATGTTATCTGTGAAACTCTCCCACACCAAAATATCAGACAAAGGAATTATGCATGAGATATAGAATAAGTAAAGTTGACGCTACAAGGTAAGACAGAAACAAGCCATAAGGGTAAAAAATAAAATAAAATAATACCAAGGGACTTAATTTATTTCTAATTCTTTCTTTTAAAAGTCTTCTTTCTGGAGCTTCTTGGACCCTTCTTTTTATATATTTTTATTTATTTTTAGTTTTCAACATTCACTTCTGTAAGATTTTGAGTTCTGAATTTTCTCCCCTTCTCTCTCCTCCCCTCCCTTGTCCCCAAGACAGCATGCAATCTGATATAGGCTACACTTGTATTGTCATATTAAACATTGCACCCATCTCAAGTTCCCACTGACCTTCCAACCCACTTCACATGCTGAGTTCAGGGTCCAAGAGTGAGGTTCCTGGCCCCATCCCCCCACAGAAGTGACTCACCCTTGAATGACCCTCTTCACTCCATAAGAGGTGGCAGAGGGTGATTTTGCCTAACTACCAGGAGGAAGGGAAAAGTTGTTGAAGTAAGGTTGGAAGACATGGGGAGTAAAAAATTGGCTGGAAAGAAGGGGAGGATATGATTTGGTGGAAGGACATTGGATTTGGAGTCAGAGGGCTTGGGTTTGAATCCTGGTTCTTCCACATTCTGCCTGTGTGACCTTAGGTAAGTTCCTTAACTTCCCTGGGCCTCAGTTTCCCTATCTGTAAAATAATGAGTTTAGACTAGACCAAGGGTGGGGAACCTGCGACCTCGAGGCCATACATGGCCCTTGAGGTCCTCAAGTGCGGCCCTTTGACTGAATCCAAACTTCACAGTATAAATTCCCTTAATAAAAGGATTTGTTCTGTAAAACTTGGACTCAGTCAAAAGGCCACACCCAAGGACCTAGAAGGCCACATGTGGCCTTAAGGCTGCAGGTTCCCCACGCCTGGATTGGATGGTTTCTGAAGTTCCTTCTAGCTGTAAATCTATGGTTCTGTGAATCAGTATCCTATGTGGGCAGAGAGCACCCTGGGAAGTTGTCCAAATGAGGAGAGAAGATATCAGAAATACAGGGGAGGGGCAGCTAGGTGGCCCAGTGGATAGAGCACTGGCCTTGAAGTCAAGAGGACCTGAGTTCAAATTCAGCCTCAGACCAAACACTTGAAACTCACTAGCTGTGTGACCCTGGGCAAGTCACTTAACCCCAATTGCTTAAAAATAAAAATTTTTAAAAAAATTTAAAAAAAGAAATACAGGGGAGCTGGAGATAGAATCCACCTGATACATGGCTGAACAGAGAAGGGATAGTCATTGTTTTAGTATATCAGCAAGAGTATGTATGAGTTGTGGGAGAACAGAATTCCATTTATTTATTTGATTATTCATTCATTCATTCATTCATTCATTCATTCATTCATTCATTCATTCATTTGCTTACTTACTTATTTGCCTAGGCAATGGGGTTAAGTGACTTGCCTAGGGTCACACAGCTAGTTAAGTGTTATGTGTCTGAGACCAGATTTGAACTCAGGTCCTCCTGAATCCAGGGCCAGTGCTCTATCCACTGCGCCACCTAGCTTCCCCAAGAACAGAATTTTAAAAAATGGAAGGGAGGTGCTAGGATGGAGGGAATGGGGTGGGAGTGTCTAACTCTGAAAGGGGAAAGGTTGCAGTGCCATGTATGTGTGTCTGGTAAGAGAATTCATTTTGTCTGAGGGGAGTTTGCGCTTTAGTATAACACCTTCTCTGGGGAAGGATTTTGCTTCCCCAGACAGAAAAGGAGATGGAGGAGTCCCCAAGGGTATCCAGCAACCAGGTTGAGGGGAGAACATAGATCCCCAAACTGGATGACCTGACCTGAAGAGTTGGGCTCTGGGTAACTTTGGAAGCTGCCCCAAGGCCAGTTATCTGCATGGCATGAATGACCGACTTGGCACAAGCCAGGGGGACGTAATAAAAAGGGGAGGGCCCTTAATTTATGAGGAGACAGTCTTCATGTAACACAGGCCTAGGCTACATGATGCAAGCTGGGGCCCAGGCAGAGGACAGGCTCCCCTAGTTTCTCTGGGTCTGGCTTTTGCCACAGCCAATACCTGGAGAGGATCTCCTGGGCCCAGTCCAAGGGCCCCTCTCCTTTCCACAGCTTCTTATCCTGGGATGCTAGATGCCAGAGGGGCTGCTTTAAGCAACAGTCAAGACCAAGTCTCTGAAACTTGAGGCTTTACCTTTTACAACCCTGTTTTTTGTTCTTTTCTTGCTGCCTACTTGTTCTATTTTACAACCTTGTTTTTTCCTGTTCTCACCTAGTTAGATTCTTGCCATGCCCGCTGCCCTCAGAGGCTTTGGCTCAGTGGGGGTGACAGTGGGGCCTGGCCAAAACCCACCACAAGTATTTAACATTCATGCCCAAGGCAGCAGGTAGAACTGAGCTTCATGAGTCAGGACAGCAAGAATTTCAATTCTACACCACAGGACACTGCTGTCATTCACTTCCACTTCCTTCCTGAATTAATAGTTCTGAGGCAGAAGCACAGGCGAAAAAGGGAGGAAGGAAGGATGAGATCAATGCTCTAAATGCAATAACATGAACATGAAATGGAGGAGGATTTTCCAATTTAGCACTTAGGAGCTCTGCTGTCATGAGGTATACAGAGAAAATTAAGAAGGAACAAGTAAGAGGACAGAGCCAGAGAGACACGGAAATAACTGATAAATCAGAGAAGAAATTAAGAGATTGCTTGACTATGCAAATTTGTTAGAAAGGCTGGGGTGGTGGGGTTTATTAGTCAGGAGCATGGAATAGATTTTTAAGTAAAAAAAAATACATTTTTAAAAAATCAAATTAGAGGGCAGCTAGGTGGCTCAGTGGATAGAGCACCAGCCTTAGATTCAGGGGGACCTGAGTTCAAATTTGGCCTCAGACACATAACACTTACTAGCTGCGTGACCCTGGGCAAGTCACTTAACCCCAATTGCCTAACCAAAAAAAAAAAAAAGTAGAAAAGAAAACACAAAAGAAGGAAATATCTGATGTCATAGGGGCTATAGGAAGACAGA